GGTCGTGGAGCCAGGCGATGGCTGGCACGGCCGTGCGTGGCAGTAAGAGCGGGAGGGGGGAGGGGGGGAGGCGGCGAGAGAAGGCGGCAGCAGCAGGGAGCAGAGGAGGGGAGTGGCCGCCTCCGCCGCGGCGGCAACAGGTGATCGGCACTCGGTACTGCCAGGCGCCCTGGGCCCGCCTAGCGCTGCAGCGTGGTTGCCACTGTTCCTCTGCTTCCGCCTCCGCCCCTCCCTGCTACTCCTTCTCTTCCCCTTCATCCTCTTTTGTCCTCCTCTCCCCTAGGACTACTCAATGTGAATATGATCCGTTTCTCCCGTGGCGATGTCCAGCGGTGCCACCATCGTTGCCGTGTTGCTTGCGCACGTGATCTCAAGTGTTGCCAGATCGCATCGGGCCCTGGAAGTGGCGCTCCCGCAGCAGCGCTGGCCACATCTGAGGACTCGTGTTTTGAACCCGTCGGTCATAAGGCCGCTCTCGCCCTAGCGCGGGCCACGCGTCCGGTTTTTGAATCCTGCCTCGTCTTTGCCGTGCTCCTCCTTCCCCCCCAATGCGACCCACCTGACCCTCGTGCTCCTCCCACTTTTGTCTTTTTCCTCCTCCCCCTTCCTCCTCCTGCTCCTCCTCCTCCTCCGCCTCCTCCTCTTGATCATCCGCCTCCCCCTCACACAATGAACATGAGACACATATTTTCCGATCGCGCGGAGCATGATGGGTCTGGTCTTGCAACTGCCATTTGGGCGCGAGGTCCTCCGGGCACCCCATCCGACAGATGGAAATGTATTCAACGGAATGGGAATGGATTGATAGGAGAGGTAGGACGTCAGACAATCAATGTGGTGCAATCTAGGTGGTGCAAACCATGAGGCGCAATCTATGTGGCGCAAAGCGATCCAAAGCAACGCAGTGCAAGTCAAAAGAAGGCAACGCAATGCAAAGAAATGAGACGCGATACAAAGCTACGCGGCGCAAGGGCAACGCAAAGGCATGCGATACCATGAGAAGCAACGCAATGCAATGCAAAAGCAATCTAACCCAATGCAAGAAATGCCAAGCAGCGCAATGCGATGCAAAACGATGCAAAGCAACGCAGAGCAAAGCAGAGCAATGCAAAGCAATCCTAAACAATGCACCAAAGTGTAAACCAATGCAAATCGACGCGAAGCAACAAGATGTAATGCGATGCTGAGCAGTGCAATGCAATACGGAGCAATGCAAAGCAATGACAAGCAATGCAACGCAGTGTAAAGCAACGCCGCCAAGCAATGTACAGCAATGCGATGCGATGCACAGTAATGCAAAGCGATTCGAAGCGAATACAAAGTGACACAAAGGGCAAAGCAAGGCAATGCAACGCAACGCAAGGCGAAGCAAAGCAAAGCCATGCAACGCGATACACAGCAAGGCAAAGCAGGGCAATGCAATGCAAAGCGATGTGAAGCGATTCACAGCGATGCAATGCAAGGCTTACTAATACAAAAAATACAAAACAACGCAAGGGAATGCAAAGCAATGCGGTGCAATCCAAAACCATGCGAAGCAATTCGAAGCAATGCGAAGCAATGCGGGGCAACGCAGCACAATGCAAAGCAATGCAACGCACTGAAAAGCAACGCGAAGCAGTGCGAAGGAACGCATTGCGATGCAATGTGATGGAATTCGACGAATAGCGATGCAAAACGATTCAAAGCGATGCAACATGATGCGAAGTAGGGCACAGGAAGGCAAGTCGAGTCGAAGCAACGCAAGGCGCTGCGAAGCAGTTCGACGCAGTGCAGAGCGAGGCGAGGCGAGGCAGCGCAGCGCAACGCCAAGAGAGGCCACGCAGTGAAGAGCAGCGCAGAGCGCAGCGATGCGGCGCAGGGCGTCCCGCTGCAGGGGTCGTTCGGCCGTCCGCGCCAGGGCGCCCAACGCCGCAAAAGAAAACGCCCTTGAACGCAAACTCTGCAATTTTTTGGGGTCCCTGCGGCGCGCGCGACCGTGCGCGGCGCCTTTCGGTGAGTACTTTGCGCGGGTGAACGCGCAGTTTTGGGCGATGCGAAGCAGCGCGGCGCAAAGGGGGGCGCTGACGGACGACGGGACTGCCAGCGGCTGGCGGCCAGCAGCCGGCCGCATCGACATCCGGGGCCCAGACGAGCGTCGCCGACGGGCGGCGACGGGCGGCCGTACTCCTCCTCCTCCTCCTCCTCCTCCTCCTCCTCCTCCTCCTCCTCCTCCTCCTCCTCCTCCTCCTCCTCCTCCTCCTCCTCCTCCCCCTCCCCCTCCTCCTCCCCCTCCTCCTCCTCCTCCTCCTCCTCCCCCTCCTCCTCCTCCTCCTCCTCCTCCTCCTCCTCCTCCTCCTCGGCCGGACCGACACCAGAGCTCAGTTACCTTAGAAGCGACGTAAGAACTCTTGGGTGCAAGCACTGGCTGCACACCGAGAAGGGCTCAGGCGCAGACTGTCGAGGAGAACGGAGGGTGAGGAGGAGCACACCGGGTGGACGAGGAGGAGGAGGAGGTTCGCGAAGCCCGCAGGGGCCGCAGGAGGGGAGACTCACGAGGAGGATGGATGAGGAGGTGGAGGGATTTCTTTGGGAGCGGGCTAGAGTCAAGCGCTGGCTCTGGGATTTCCACTGCCGGC